CTTTTAAAATAAAGTGGGGCTTTCCCCTAAGTATTATTTTTGGTTTTTTTAGCAGTAATTATAGAAATGTTTTCCGTTAATTGGTCAACGGGTGGTTCTATACCACTCCTGATAACCATATGAAATCTAAAAGTTTGTAAACTTATTGAAGATGCCCTAGGATGTACTTTCTTAATGCAGTGACACAATTTCACTCAGCCCTGTAAGTATATACTTCTTTGTGTCACAATTCTAACTAAGCCTGTCATCTGAACTACTACTCAACATCTGAACTTTTCACAATGTAACATTATTTCTTACTGAAGGCAATGCATGATGGGATATGTAGTCTTGAGAAAGCAAGAGTGCATCATATCAAGCAGCAGGGGAAGAGATGCAAAGCACACTGAAAAGTGTGTTTTAAAAGTGATGGGCAGATGGAAGGCATGCTGATGGTACGGCCTCATCTTGAGTATGCGGTTCAATTTTGGTCACCAATCCACAGAAAGGATGTCCTGGAGCTGGAGAGGGTACAGTGAAGGGCAACAAAACTAATTAAGGGGCTGGAGGACCAAATCTATGAGAAAAGGTTGCTAAATTTAAATTTGTTCACTCTAGAAATGAGGTGATTAAGAGGGACATGATTTTGATGTACAAATTGTTTAATGGTGATACCAATATCAGTAATAGACTTTTACTGTAAACTCCATAGCAAAGACTAGAGGCCACCACTTGAAAACCGGAGGAAAAAATATTTAACCACAAGGTGTGTAGGGGCTTCTTTTCTGTTAGAGTGGTAACATTTTGGAACTCTCTTCCACAAGCAGTGGTATCAGCAGAGAGTATTGAATCCTTCAAAAAGCATTTAGATACCTTCTTCAGAGAAGATAACATACAGGGGTACAGGTAGTCTTAATGACTGGAACACATACAGACGCGTGAACTCACACGAACACACACTCACACACACGTTGAACTCGATGGACCTGTGTCTTTATTCAACTTCAAATACAATGTTACTATATACCAGCATAGTATATGCTGTGACTGAGAACTGCTTTAACAAAAGATGCGTAATCTATGCTTTAGGCTGTGTAACTTTAATTTGAACCAAACCCAAAACCTTTTTTGTTTTCATTTGGCATTCTGTGTACCATTGGGAAGATTTCCCTTCCTTTCTTGTCCCATACCCACAACGCAATAAGAGGAAATCTCTCGAGTGGTTAAAATCCACACTTGTCACCAGTGCTAGTGTTCCCATTGGAAGATTTCCCCTCTATTCCTCTTTTGGTGACAACTTAAAATTTGGAATTTTTCTTTCCCTTTCACTCTTGTTGATAAAGGTCACCAGTACAAGAGAGAGTGCATCTCCCTAACGAGGACAGGTGTTCAGTTTGGTAATCCCTTTCCACTCTATCCATCTTGCCATTTGTACTACTGTAAAACCGAAAGGAATTTACATGTTCTAAAGAATAGAGTTTAGGTTATTATTTATGTTCTCAAAAACAAATTGAAGCTTCTGGCATCCTGTGAGTGATTCAATAATTGTCTTTGCTTTCCCTCTGCCATTCATCACAAGAGGCTCAGAGCTGTAATTGCACTTGTTAGTATTTCCTCCTACCATCATTTTAGAGAGCTTTTTATTGGAGACTCCCTAGCACTATCCAAATAGGTATGCAGCAATAAGGAGCATGCAAGGACTGAACATTCACTGCCTTTCAACATCTGAAAAATCAAACGATTCTCTGATTGCCCTCAACTCTAAATGGGACACTGCAGAAAATCTTTTTTCTTGCCTTTTTCAGTATGGAAATAATGAGACATGTTTGTTCATAATGTAGGTTATATTGTTTTATGGTGTACAATTTTAACTCTAAACATTATAACATTTTTTTAAACATGCAGATGGCTCTTGCGACATGCTAGTCTGATACTAAAGGCTGTACTAATATTACCACCTGGATATACATTAGCAGTATGTGTCTGGAATATTTTCCAATAGATTATAGTTTTTGGTAACGGGGTTTGGGGGGGGGAGCGCAAGTGGAAAGCAAGTGTTCGCTTGTGTGTGGCACCTGAGCCAGTTAAGTGTGTTTCATGTAGACTTCAACTGTGCTTAGGTGTACTTTTACAAACTATTGCTAAGCTATCACCTCCCTCTGCGCACTAGGCCCTCAATCTAAACTACATTAACACTCTACTCTAAATTTACTTACCTTCCACAGCTGCAGCCTCCTCTGTTGTTTACAGCCAGTCCAATTAGAACTTCGTCAGTGCTGCCCCCCATAGGCTTGAATTAAACCATATACTGAATGAGGCACTGAATAGATTTGTGTCGGACAAACAATGATGTTATTATGATTGGCAGTAGCATGAATGTATGGGGTTTGTGGGGTGGCTGACAGTAGATTTCTAGCCTAGGGCTCTGAAATTGTCAGAAACTGCCCCAACTGTCACTTCAGTATGGTTTTATTTTTTTAAATAAATGTAGGGTCACTTAAAGAGATAATGTCACCTTGCCCATGCAGTACATAGTGACACTGTCTCTGTAAAGGGCCAACCCCATATACTCATCTTACCTTCACTCCTTTGCAGTCCCTTGCTCCTCCACGATCAGTGATGAAATTGGTTGTTTTGGCGATCTGGAGGAGTAGTGAAGTCACTCCACCAGTCCTATGAAAGTGCTCAGGCATAGCTACTGACTGCTACAGCTGGACACTATACATGGAAGTGTTGGGTATTATTGCCAGCTGCGGAGGAGCAAGGAGCTGTGTAGATAAGACAGTATAGGCAAGTATATGGAGTCGGGGAGGCCCTTTGCAGTTACACTGTCCTTACACTGGCAAGGTAATGGTGTTTACTTTTACATTATAAAAAATGAAATATGTAAAAACATACTGTACACTGCCACAAAAAATGTCTGTCTCTTACGTTGTTTTATATTTTGTTTTATTATAAACCTGTAATAAACACAATATGTAGGCGGTCATTGCTGACCTACTTCTGAAATTTCTACCTGCCTGGCTGGCTTTTCCACAGACCCACTGACTTGAACACTTTCTGTGTTACAAGCCCCAAACAATCACACATCAGAAAAGTCAGACCTCCTGATTTTCTGTACTGATTTGGGGTGGTACTAAAAGTTTAAAAGCCGTTGGATCAGAATGGCACCAAGGCAGCTAGCATTTTTGTTTTAGGAGTAGAGTGTTTCTCTAATGAAACTCTAGGCTTCCTTTTAATAGGTGGGTTACACAGCAGCCATCTATACTGTAATGGGGCAACGTATGTTCAGCTTTCAATGTAGCGGTAAGGCTATATGGTTCCTAGTTTGAAAGAAAAAAAACTATTTTACCAATGATTAAAAAAATATGCACACACAGACATCTGGTATATAAATTTGAGCAGTGATCCCCAGAAGCCCTTAAAGTTTTCTTCTGTTTAGCTCTGGCAGGCCTAATATAAACTACTGCTAGGAAGATTTGAATGCTGGCATCACATACACTTTTCCCCCAACTACTGCAAAATCTATTGATTTTTTTTTTTTTTTAATAGCGTTGAGATTTCAGCAACGTAGGAGTGTAACAGAAGAAAAATGAAAAGCCCGCACTTCATCACTGTAAGGCCAGTCTCTCTAAGCTGAGAACTGCAAATCGATTTGCCTGAGAATGCAAACGACCCTGATGTTTTTTAAGCTAACACAAATACCTGAGTCCTGTTTGAAACAGATTTCTTGCACAAAGAGACTTCTGTACACAAAATATGATTATTTCAGACATTTGTAATAAATCAGGTTGCTCTGTATTTGAAACGTCTGTGTGCATGGGGCGTGAGACTGGCTGCAGAACAAAAAGAGCTTTCACTAAGAGTTCTAAGATGGGGTTTTTTTTTTCTTTAAACATGCAAAAGGCTGTGTGGTCAAGTTCAAAATAACTAATATTTGCATTGCCTAGCCTGTACGCTGACATGCATATTCAGGAGGGGGTTGCTTTGCAGTGATCTGACATCTGATCTCTTGTATGTCAAATTACCAGTGAGTGCGAGTCATATAAAGCTGGCCTTCTAAAACATTTTTCCTGCATTGAAAAACATGATCAGACAGTATACAAAACATTATTTTTATTGTTTTTAACAATCATATTTTTTCAATGAGTTAGCTCACCCAAAAGTGATACTTCAGTTTTAGATCAGTGCTGCAGAGCCAACGCTTACGAGCACTTCTGGTGCACAGATCCTTTTTGGACCCCTTCCCCTCCCCCAGCATTTTTGTAATGTAGTACACTTGGCCTGTAACGGTGGAAATATCTTCAGAGTGTAGCCTGTCAATTGCCACACAGCATTGGCTCATCTTCCCAGTCCTGCATTCTGTTCCTTGAATGTATGGGGCCCCAAACATACTTTCACTTCAGTGGAAGGCCTGTCAACAAGCTGACACGATGCAAATGGACTTTACATTAAAATCAGTGAAGTTCAGGGCATGCAAGTGCGCATGGATGGAGTGTGGGACTAAGAAAAAGAGGATCTTTGTGGACTTATTACAATCATTCTTGGTGAGAGAGTGCTGAAAAGGAGAAGTTCACTAAACGCTCTTGGGAGCAACATTTATTGGACAAGTTGGAAAGCCTGTATCCATTACAACTGTTCTTCTCATTTGCCAGCACCACACTGAGCAGAGCTGACCTTGCAAGTTTATGGAGATCTGAAGATTAGGTGTCCCTACGGTAGTTGGATTTTGCCTCTCTGTCTGACAATCCTCTGAAGTGTATGGGTAGGCTGAGGCTACTTGTATTGGTTAAAAGGTTTTCATATATTTGGCAATAGTAGCTGAGTGCAAGCTGTATTGGCCTGCTTGATAATTATCTTTTTGGTTAGTGAATTATTCTTGGGCACAGTTGTTTTAGTGAATTTGTGCCGTGTACCCTTTTGAAGATGGGGATAAATTAACTTTTGGTGTCTGGCAAGTAAAGGATAGGCATTTTATTTACATGCTGTAAAAAATCCCCTTTGTGTTTGTTTTGTTGTAGATGGACATCATGTATGGGAAATGGAAGCAAAAACAGATAAAGAAATGTACAAGCCAGTAAGTATGGTTTACAGCAGAAATAAAACTTACACTAGGCTTTTTCAGTTTCCATTGAGTCCTTTTTGTTCTGTTTGCACTCACTGAATAAGACAATAAATTGCATGGTACCCTGTTTTTTTGGGGGGGGGGGGGCTGGTACCAGTTTCCTTTAATGTATGAAAAATAATTTGACATGGATTTAAAGTGTCTCAGACTCATCATGCAGCTGTTTAGCTTTGTGACACTCATTGGAAATGGTTTTACCGGACTAGTTCCAGGTCAAAAAATGAATCAAAAGATTTTTTTGCTACCTTAGAACTAGGATCATGCAGTGACTGCTTCCCTTACAACATAATCACACAGGTGTTTTACTTTTTGATATATTCTTTAAATGAGTATTGACTAATATGTGTGTTCACAGAACTGTAATTTGTTCTACAAACCCATACATTGTTTACTAGTAAGATTTTTTTATCGATAGGATGGAAATTAGAGAGCCTAGAAGTTTTGTAACAGATTGCTCCAGTTTTTTTCCACAGTCATGGTGGTTAAGCATCAGTAGTAGATACAGCTCATATACAGGAGAAGCAATAATACAGTCTCAGCTAAAGCTCTGCAATGATAGGTGTAAAATCGGTATCGCCAGTATGAAATGTAAATTATTAACTTATGTTGCAGAATTCACTAGTTGTGGAGATCCCAGCGTTTCGCAATCAAAGAATATCCAGCCCAGTTCAAGTCAATTTTTACGTCTGTAACGGGAAGAGGAAAAGAAGCCAGTACCAGCAATTCACCTATCTGCCAGCCAATGGTAACATAATGACTCATAAAAATGTTTCTTATGTTTCTCAAGCTGGGTGTTTGCAGTTTTGTTAAAGCACAGAAAAGTACAGTGTGATGTTGTGTGAAAAAAGCTGAAGACTCCACATTTTCTCTAAACCCTCGTGAGGGTTTAAAAGGGAGAGTTGCAGTCTCACTAGAAAAGAACTGCTTGTTTTGTTCTGCCTAATTTGAAAAGCATACTACCTGACCTTCCCTTTCACAAACATCCTATATGGTGCCAAAAACACACATAAGTTCAGACAGCTCAGCTTTTTGACTGGCCTAGTTCCTTGAGAGCTCAGATCTCAGACCTCCTGGAGGACAAGCCAATTTGCAACACATTAGGTGACAGCATTCATTCTATATGAGAAATATGTTGGACATACATGTATGTCTGCTCATTTCAGGGAGTCGTTATTTTGAATGTAATTGCATGTAGCAAAATATATGCCTTGAAAGATTGCATATTTTTTCTCATTAAGGGTGGGCCAGGAGAGATGGGTGGGGATAGGAATAAAGGACTCACCCGCTGTTTTGGCAGAGACGCATCCAAACCTGGAACCATAAAACAGCTGCTGTTATGGGTGTGGCTATTGATGAAACAAAGAGCCTCTTTGACAGACCATTCCATTCTAGCAATATTAAGCTATAAGCTAGTTATTTTTTCACACCATGAATTTACCAATGCATCCTTTATGGAAGCAAAACCATATAATCAGCTATCTTTGTAAACTGGTACAAAATACAGTATATTGATGGATGCATTGTAGTCAGTTTAAAGATTTTCTTTGAGGAGTGCTATATTTGCTGCATGGATGGATTGTTTAGTCAGCCTACATTAATATAATATATCGACATAAATCACTTATATACAAACCTTTTTATATTTGATTACATTTTATTGTACAATATCCCTGTGAGTTTTTAATGAGAACTTGTAATCTGTGTAAGATTAAAATAATTTTTTTTTTATTGGTAAAATGAACATATTTTATTGCCACCTACCTAAAGTGCATTATTTGTTACTTGCCTATCACTCAGTTTATAATCCATATTGTATATGTATTGTATTATATGTCTGGGTAAAAGGTATCTCTATGAAATGAAGTCATGGCAGTACGTTCAGTTTCAGAACGGTTTTTGTCTTTTTAATAAAAAATTGTATTCAGTTCATAAGCACTGTTCTTTTTAAGGCACATCAACCAGTTAGATCCTCCCAGTACAGTAGTGGCAGAAAGAATCCAAGGATTTTACTGTTTGCTATGAACAAAAAAGTTTTTTTTGCTTCTGACACTTTGCTAAAGAAGGCTCGGGCCTCATTGTTCTTGGACCCAACTGTCAATCTCTCAGTTTTGACCGAATTCCGGGTCCGGACAAACAGGTTGTGCACCTCTCACCTACAGAATTGGCAGCTCATTTACAGCTGATAAATATTGCCAAGCATGCATTCTGTTTGCATTGAGGTTTTTTTAAAAGATATTTCTTAGGCTGAAACTAACATGAGTGTTGGTTGAGATCACAAAACCAATACCGTTTGGCATGGCCAGTTAAAGTCCTATTGTATATCAATTGTTGCTTTGCATTCTGGGCATTAAAATGACTGTACTGCTTAGGGGTTGGCAGAGTCGTTGTGAATCCCTGCTGCAACCCCAACGTGTCTGTGGCTGTTACTCTTTATAATGTATATTTCCATGTCATACATTTCCTTTTAAATATTATTTTATTTAATTCAAACAACATTTACAAATTATTCAAAGTAATAATATCTGTTATGTTTGTAAAATCAATATTGCACTGTATATATGCACTGTACGGAACTTTGTTTTCTTTTCTTAATAAATAGGATATTTCATTAAAAAATGTCTTTGTGGCTTGTGTATAATCGAGAGATTACAAAATGCAGTCTTTGCACAAAGGCTTTTAAAACCTATCCAGTGGTTAACAAAATCAACCCTTTATCTTCTTGCTGCTTCATTTACTGACTTTTATATTGTTAACCAGAAGTAAATGATATTGGTTTATTTACTGAATAAAAACTAGACAATCCATATATACAGTGTAAATAATGCAGCTATGTTGAGTTTAAAGCGACAATAAACCTTCAGGGTTTTTTTATGTTCTTCTTTATAGTGGCCAGACTTGCTAAAAAAAAAAAAAAGTTTTTAATTCCTCGTTCTCTAGTGGTATTCAGAGCGCTAGCATCACCCCACCGTACAGGTACCTCCATCAGCTAGCTGGCTGTTGTAGAGGCACCTGTATGTGCACGGTCACGGCCGTGCCCGCACCTAACTGTGTTCGTCCATAGACACAGCATGCGGCCGGCTACTCCCCCCAACCTTGCAGTCACAGCTTGAGTGACGGCAGAAGGAGACTATGGCTCCTCTGCCCTCAGTACCCTCCCCCACAACCTGGAAGTTCAGGGGAATCCAGAGTATCTTTCCGGTCGGCGAGGAGATGAGCGGCAGCAGGTAGGTGTGGGGGCAGAGGTGTTAGAAAAGTGCTTGGTGTTGTTTTCCTTAATGCAGAGAATACCTTTTCGCAGCGCTGAATACTGAAAAATGGCCTGGATGGGAAGGGGGTTTAACACCGCGGATGTCAACTGGTTAAGGCTTTATAATAGATTATTTTACTTATTAACGAAGAGTAGGATTCATACTAAACAAAATCTATAGGTGTTTTTTTCTGTAGTGCATTTGCAGCCTGCATTTCAAGCTTCTCTGCAGCAAAACAAATTCCATTTTCCTATAATCAAATTGTTACTTTACAGACAATGTAGCACAAGTTTTATTTTCTATTTCCTTAGCTTTAGACTGGCAGAATTGTGGCAGAAAAGATGTAATCCCTTAAATTAAAGTGAACCTGTGCCCAGATCATGCACACTGAAGTATTTACATATTCTGAACAAGCAGTAAAAAGTATTTTAACATAAGGCCTTATTTATCTCTGTATCTATAAGCGTTGTGTTGAAATAGATTTTCAGATTTCACAGCACAGGTATAGAAATCTTGGCCCTTCACTTATTACTTGTTGGACCAGAATCTTGGCAGGCTGCCATCCCTCTATTGTATCTTTCTAAATCTTTTAGAATGAATAACTATATTAAAATCAACTAGAGAGATCAGCGATGGCTTGTTTTAATGTTCCTTGACCCATAGTTTAAATGTGTAAATGGTTTAATGTCATTAGGTATGATAGATTTATTTTTGCTAATTACATTCAAAGTAAAACCTCAAGTGTAAAGTGCATCTGTGCCCAGATGATAGGCTGTAACTTTGCAAGGGATTTTTTTTCCTAGCTTACTGAATGCGGTGACCTTCTGGTGACCCTGATCCAAACATGTACAAGCAGAAATACTATTTTCTTGTATGTGATTTGGTTATACATTTGGGAAATACATTTTCACCAAATTCACTAAGCCAGGGGAAAATGCCCTTGCAATGTGAACAGCATATTTGCCAAAAATCAACCACATGATCTGGGCACAGATGCACTTTTAAATTAAGGTTCCGGTTTAAATGTAATTAACAAAAATAATTCATATTAGACCTATTGATAAACCTAGCAAAGTCCTGTGATTTGAGAAATTCATATTAAAAGGAAAGCCTGTTCTTTATCATTTTATCTTCCTAAATATTTTAGAGGTCAGCTTGATGTAATGTGTTGGTGTTTAAAAGTCTTGTTTGTGTGTATATTTTGAAATTTATATATGTGCACAAGGGCATTGTTATTTGCTTATTATATATGCGGGCTCTGTCTTCTGCTTTGCAGTTGTACATTACAGCATCTCCTTACAATACAAGTCTATGAGTTGGTTGACTGTTTTAAAACAATATATATCCTCCAAGTCAGTAAAACTACTTATAATTTTCATTGTGCTTTCACCATTTGTATTCTCATATAATCTGCCATTCTGTTTGCCATGTCTATACTGGGTGACTATATTACTTGTTTATTTATTCCTGTCTTGCATATTGAAAATCAATCAGACAGTTGTCTTAGGGCAGCAGGACCAAGACTAATATAATTTAACTGATACATAATTTAAAAATAATAATGGCAGACACACAATATGTGGCATATATGTGGGCCTTTATTGCTATACAGCAGGGGCGGCCAAACTCCGGCCCTCCAGCTGTGGTGGAACTACAAATCCCATGAGGCATTGCAAGATCCTCACAGCCACAGACATGACTCCCGGAAAGAGATGCATCATGGGATTTTTGTTTCACCACAGCTGGAGGGCCAGAGTTTGGCCACCCCTGCTATATGTTAACAACCAGTGCAATTCATTAACCAGTGGATGCTCATTCAAACGTAAGTGAAGCAAATGCTGTTTGAACTGTACCCAGATGGATTAACATAGCACAATCGAATGTTTGTCATCTCTTGCCTCATGTCTATCCGTTTGGCCTACTGTCTGACCACACCTTGGCATCTTTAGAAATAAGAGCGACTGGCACCCAGCAGCAAGCCCTTGCATAAACTTTATTCTAAAGCAGTATAACAGCTCAGGACAATCATGCTATTGGCATCTTTCTTTTATTCTGTCTCTTGCTTCAACATGTAGTTACAATCTTTCCCAGCTAGCTGGTTTAACAAAGATAGCACATTATACAGAAGAAAAGTATACAAATAAAGATACTTGATGCTTGAATTTTTGCAAGCTGTTAAGTCAAGCTCTGTATGGTGCCCATTTTCAGATGATTTAAAAGTCAGTCAAAATCAGTTTTGAACCATGTTTCAGAATTTTGTCTGTGGAAAGGAGAGGTGCAAAATAATAACAAACTGGTGAGGTTAAAAAGGAAATAAACTAGTAAAAGTGAGCTGTTTGTTGAGGTTTCAGAGTATCAGTACTGGTGTTTTCAAACCAATGAAGTGGGTCTATAAGTGTGATCACAGTGCAGTGGGTGCAAGAGTGTCACTACTGTGGAGCGGGGATATATGGGTGGGATGCCTGGGTGTCATAAGTCTTAATAATGGTTTACAAAC